TGGGGTGCCGCGCTGGGGTCGGCCCCTGCGGCCTAGGGCCTGCGACTGCCGCAGTGACAGGTCGGCGGAGGGCTCTGTGGGGGAGGGGCGCGTCTGCGCCGTTGTTGGGGGAGGGGGCTGGAGGTGGGGGCATCTGGATAGCACCGGCCCCACCTGCCTGTCTGTCTGGCTGCAGTGCCCCGAGGGCTGTTGGGAGTCATGGGGGGTTGCCCCTGGGGCTGAGTGGGTTGCAAAGGGCTAAGGGGGGGGCAGTTTACAAAGTGGGGATGGGGTGGGAGCAAGACAGCCCCATCAGACGGGTTGGCCATACTGTGAGGGGACCAGGGCTGTTCTCAGCGTCCCAGCACCACTTTGCTAAGTAGAGAAATCACCTGCGTGATCCTGTGCCAATAGCACTGCCAAAACTTTTCCCATCTCCTAGCTAAAGCTGGTGTTTTTCTCTCTCTTTCTCTTCGTTTTTAGGCCGTAGGACTCTCGCCTCCTTTCGCTTCAGCAGGCCCCGACATTGGTTTCGAGGCACTGGTAACATGGCAAAAGATGTGAGTGCGCAGGAGCAGCCTGTTTCCACGTGTCTGTTTGCGCATGGGAAGGAAGCGGGCTGAGCATTGTGCCTGTGGCATCGGTGTTGGTGGGAGCGCGTTTTCCGCACCGCGCTGGGTGGGGGCTGCGCTGTCTTTGTTGCTCCTCGAGGAAGCTTGGGATAGAATTTTTATGAGCTATAGAACCGGGGCAGGGGGAGCTTAAGATTTGAAAAGACCCACAGCCATTTATTCAGTGCAGTATAACAAGAACCACCATCTTGCTGAAAAGCATTTGTGATGCTGGCATTTTGTGTGCTTTTGTTGGGGATTTGAAAACCTGATTTTTTCATTGTTGTGCCAGGCTTTTTTAACAAACAAACAAGTGAATGAATTTATTATTAGCATTCAAAGTTGTCAGCCAGTTACCTCTGAGTGATGCAGAGGGACAGATGAGTGTCACTGCCATGCCTTGACTTGACCCTATTTAAGAGCCATATCATATTTGAGGTAGTTGCTATGTAAGCAGTTCAGTCTCCATGCCTTCATTCTTTCACCTTTCTTCTGAAACTACCAAAATGATGCCACTTAGGGCCATTAGGAATCAAGCTTCCGGGGATTTCCCCATAGGCTGTACAATTAAAGCTGTTCAACCTAAAGGCGAGTCATAATGAAAAGGGACTACCTTTTAAACTGTTTCTCTCATTTTCCACTTTTAATGTCCTTCTGCACAATAAGAATATTCATCTTCTCCTGCACTCTTAATTTAAATTATTACCTTACTTTATTATCATTGGACTTCCTTATTGGCAAGATACCAAGAAGTTTAAATATTCTCATTTATATATCAAGATGTGTATCCTAAAGATTTAAAAATGTAGAGAACATGCACAGCTGTTTGGGGTTTTTTTTAAATTAAAACTGATTTTGATCTAGTTGATTGAGGATTGTAACAGTTCCCATCATCCTCAAAGTGGCAAGGATTTCAGTACAATATGGTTTAAGAAAGACCTTAAGACTGACTTAATGAATGAGGAAACAACCAACCAAAATACATAGTTGCTGAGAGCTTGCCAGGAAAAGATAAGGGTAGCAAAATGTGTTACAGATAGCTAAAGAAGCTCAGGGGATAAAAAGGAAGAAGGCCTGCTATTAAATGAGGGTGAAATTAAGGAGTTTAAAATGACTGAAATATTGAAGTTATTTTTGTTTTTAAATCTATCCTTTAAAAAAGAAAGAAGTAAAAGAACTTAAACAATTAATGCATATGAAGATAATTTGAGAGGGAGAAACAGATCATAAAAAATGATGAGTTTGTTTAGGGAAGAGAAGATTGGCCGGACCATAATAGATTTTTAGATGTGTACAAGTTTATTTATAAAGAAGGTGAATGATTATTCTGTGTTCATAGGGGTAGGGGAAAATAGTTTAATTTACTGAAAAGATGATTTAAGTTGGGTATTAGGAAACCCTTTCTAAGGATAAGGGTACTTAATCAGCGAAGGAGGCTACCAAAGGAGGTTGTGAATCTTTCTTCCTTTGGAACTTTGTCTGTTATAAAACCCCTACTAGGAATAAACTAAGCATACTTAATTCTGCCTTGGAGTAGAAAGTTGGACTGTATGACCTCTTTCAGTCCCATTATAGCCCTATATTTTTGTGATTCCTAAGAGTCTGTAAGGTGAGTTTATAGTTTGCTAATCCGGTTGCAGTGATGCAGACCATAAGACTGAGGTTGGCAATGTTTTTTGGCAGCAGAGCCAAAATAACCCAGATCAGGTCTGAGGCACTAGGACCTAGTTGTCCAGGGTGCAGTGCAGCGCAGGCAGAACTCCATCAAAGCTTCTGACCACAATATGGCGCAGTCAGTGCTCCCCTCCACTGAAGCCCCTGGTAGCTGACTCTGCCATGACACAGGCAGAGAGCTCTCTCTGCTGAATGCCACCAAAGCCATGGTTCTACAGGCCAGATTCATGGCTCAGCAAGCTGCAAGTTGCTAACCCCTGGTGTAAGACATTGGGTTCATTTGCAAATTTGGTGTATCCAAGCTAGTTTAGTAATAGAAAACTGAGGTACTAATTGGTATTGTTTACTTTTTTAATTTTCAAAAAAGAAAAAAAAATTGAGATTCACTGTCCAAAGCCTAATTTCTGTCCTTAGTAAGTAACAGGATGAGTCGTAACAGAAAAAGTATCAATTCATTTCTAGGTTCACATTTTATGAAGACTTATGTGTATGTAAGCTTGCACATAGTCCTATGGAACCTCTGTGGAACTGCATATACCTGCTGAAGTAGAGTATGTACCTACCTACGTCTGCAAGACTGGGACTCAACTGGATAATGAAACTGAACAAGACATAGCACAAGTATACAAAGAATATTTATTGGCAAAATGAAGGCTATTGCTCTTTAAGAGGCCTTAAAAATTACAAAGTTAATTGGTGCACTATGAGAGAAGATATTTGGATTCTAATGATGCATTTAATAAAATCTTTCAAAATCTTACTTAGTTTAAACTGGCCTAGATACAATGTCATGTAGATTATAAAGTAGCCAAAGTACTTGGAAGAAGAGGTAATGATAAATGACAAAGTATCAAGTTAGAATTTCCTCTCACTTTTTTTATTAGACATGGTCCAGAGGTTGTTCCAGTTTCTTAATGAAGATGTTACATCTGACTGAATTTAACCGAATTTGTAATAAGTAAAGAACATGTTCTTTGATAATACTATATATGGATCAGTTGAAAATACTATTGAGGAGAGAAAAATAATACAAAGTGGGTGCATCTACATATGCTGTTGCCACAGAGCAATAAATTCTGGCGCATACTGTGCTGGAATTTATTGCTCCTGGGTGCTACGTTTGAACATGAGTCTGCAACCATGGCACGTTGAGCTGGGTTGGAGCAGCCCTGGCTGGCAGGGGGCCCTGGTGGTCAGCCTGCCAGTCCAGGGCTGCTCTGACCCAGCTCAACATGCTGCAGAGAGGCTAGCTGGGGCATGAGGGTGCTCCACTGCAGGGGGTGCCTGCCAGCTAGCCTTGCACTGAAGCACCCTTGTGCCCCAGTCAGCCCCATTAGTGTCTACATGTACATTGCTGCAGAGTAATGAACTCTGCTGTAGGATGGTGCTTATTTACAAGTACTAACCTGAGGTGGAGTTAGTTAATTTCCTGTGGACTAATAGGGCTGCACATGTAGACATTGAGACTTTGCTATTTAGCTAATTAGACAGCTCTGCTGTAAGTGTCTTGTGTAGATATGCCCAGTGACAGATAAACACATGTATGTGAAGACATTTTTTTTTTCCAAGTAAAGTCTAATATTTAGGAAGAAAAAGTAAAACATGAAGCTAGTTGAAAAGCCATAATGCTTAAAGAATTAGGACTGGAGGTGGAGGTCAAATTAGTTCTGAATTGCTAATATGGTTTAGCGGTAAAAGTGGCTGGTGATGTTTTTGTTTACATATGCCAACATATCCCGTAGAGTAAAGAATTGCAGCAGAACTGTACAGAGGAGAGTTGGTTTGGCATACCATATTGCATTCAGAGCAACCCATTACTAGAAAACTTCTAAGCTGACTGTATTCAAAGAAACAGCAACAAAATTTTGGAGAGAATGGTGGCAAGAATGATGGAAAATGTAAAGATGTGTAACTTTTATAGGTGATAGGGAGGAAACAAAGACCCTGGTCTTTGAAGAGTGATTGTATGTTTGCACCTTGGGGACATGATACATTTCCTTTTTCTGAGGTGTTAGGTTGGAGGGTCTTATAGATTTATTTGGAAGAAATGGAAGTCTTTAAGTCAAGTAATGTGTACCTTTTGTCTGGTTGCAGCTCTGGTTTTTAAGTGTGTGTGTGTGTGTGTG